CACTTTTATTTTCAATTGCATTTCATTACATGTCATTATATTTCATTACTTATTACAGAATTTCATCATGTGATAGCCTTTTTATCGGTATCATTGAGAGCACTAAGGGTCCCCTCTACCACATGGATATTAAACACTTATCACTAAATACTTAATAGTGCACATGAGCATCCTCATACCTCGTCTAATATGAGTACCACTCGGCATTGCCATATTCCATCTAGTATGTGATGTAGAACTTAGGATCAGATAACGTAATAAAAAACCTTACATATACGTTAATATTCAGAATACTAAAACTCTCGACAAACCCTCCTTACTTGATCTACATTTAACATGTGAATCTCAACCAAGATAATTAGCATGAAGATTGAATTGATTAAATGTCATAAAAATTAATCTTAATAAGTTAAGTCAACTCAAAGATAGATTGATAAAATGCCATAAGAAAAATATCTTGATAAGTAGAATCAATCATTCACTCAACAAGATGCTTGAAGAATCTCTCGGAGTAATCAAAATAGCCAGTGCTAAAGTAACTTGAATAATTTTCATTAATCTCAAAAAGTGAACTTAATTACAAACTAAGGGGAAGCTTTTATGTAAACTTTCACCAAATTTATTCTAAAGAATATCAAACTCTAGAATTCTAATAAAATTCTTAAACTAAATACAACCCAAATAAAACTCAAAAATAAAAATTCCAATTAAAACTCTTAATTTAACTTAATCTAAAATTACAAAATAATGATAAAATAAGAAAACTTTAATGAAAATAAAACTCTTCTCTCTTGGATAACTTGAACTCTTCTTGCCGAACTTGTCTTTCTTAAACTCTTTAGATTAGGACTTTGATTAATTGATTAATTAATTAATTAATTATAATCAAGATGATTCCTTCTTGGAGTAATGTTCTCGAATTAAATAATTAATTTTCTTGAAGTATCCTTGTTGAAGAAAATTAAAACTCCTCTATGGTTTAGATAAAAATTTTATTAAAAAAGAATCCTTCTTGATCGTTCTTCTTTGATAAAGATCATTTCTTTCTTGATAATTCTTGTATCCTTCTTAAAATAAAATACTTAAATCATGTAGACTTCTTAATAGGTAGCAAGATCAATCTAAGAGTAACTCAAATTCATTAGAGAAATCATAAACAAAAAGGAGAAAAGGTAGGAATTCTTCTCATATTAGAGGGTGCAAGTAGGAATTCTTTTACCTCTTGAACTCTTCCCGCAAGTTCTTTTCCTCTTAAGATGTGGTTCTTGGATTTCTTCTAGGTTTCTTCCTCTTAGACACATGTTTTCCTTCTCTTGAAATGTGATTTTTGAATAAATT